CGGCGCCAAAATCGCTCCACGTCCGTGGAAAAATGCGGAGGGTGTCTTCCGCCGGGTTGGACACTTCGTGTCGTCCTGATTTTCCCGTACGGACCGGCGATCCGTTTCGTCTATTTTTCGTGACTGCGTTTTGCGCAGGAATTTGCCGTCGTGTGCGCTTTCACGTTGACTGCCTGGCCGCCCCCTGTGCTGGCTTTTCTGCGAGTCTAGACTGTGCGAGGTCAGCGAGGTCAACGTAGGGGTTTCGTTTACGTGTTCTACTCAGCCGTTCTGCAAAAGCGTTCACCAAATTGTGGATGGGGTGACCTTGGTAAAATATTTTTCCTCCATGGTGCGTGGCCACCAAGTGCCCCTATTCTTTCATATGCTTCGCTTGCCGCCCCTGCGCCGAGTGCAACGAATAATCAGTAGGACTACACATTAAGTATGCCTTGCGCGGTCTGACCAATCGAAAGTCTACACTGCGTAGTATTTCCGGGCTATGGAAAACCGTCGATGGCAACGCGTACTGCAGCCTGCTCCACACTCTGGAAACGAGGTTGGGTCTACGGTGCTCGCTATTTGAAGCGCAAGCATGTGACGTCGCGTGATAGAGTGCTGTTGCTCCCATAATGTGTTTACAGCTCCATGCTTCCACCACCAAGGCTGAGCGTTGTGAGTTCGCTGCCCGCCACGTATAATTCAGTGTCGTGTTATAATTTCGGGTGTCTGTTTGGGGTCAACGAAGGATCGATGCATTGCTTCAAACATCGCGATCTTAAACGCAGTCACACAAAAAAACGACGAAAAAGTGTCCGACCCGGCGGAAGACACCCACATTTTTCCACGGACGTGAAGCCGCGGTCTCGGATCCTTTCAGAAGCAAACATTTCTCGGAGGCCGAGTAAAACTTGCTCTTATATAGATGGTTGAACCAACTTGAATAAAAGTTGAATCGCAGACGGTCTCGCAAATTGTAAGAAGTTCAAGTTTACGTTTGTTGAAGACTCCAATACTGAAACTTATAATTATTACCTTCCTCCGTGATTCGGACCGTTTGTAATTTGTTGGTAACACTCAACATTTTCATTTCAAATGACACCTTCACGTTTTATTGCATTATGATTTATTGTCAAACTGTACAACCAGCCTTCGCCTGTACTACAGTAACCTTTTCACTACGTTTTCCAAATGCGACTGCCTCACAAAAAGCCAATTTAACAGACCAATGGCAACATTTACAGACAGTTGCCATGGTACATAATTATCATGTGCGTAAATCGACGGGGGACAGGGGGAACCCCCACATACACACATTTTGTGGGGGGACATTGTTTGGTCCCCCCCCCCCACACACACACTTTTTCTTCCCCAAATAAAAATATTGTAGCCTACAATAATGATTCTATTGCTCAGAATACATGTAGCTGATTCAAGTACTCAAAACTCACAACTTTCACAGATGATCTTTTGCTCAAATTGTTTTTAGTGATCAGAAATTGCCTCAGATCACACCACAGAAAATTGCTATTCTTTAACTGCATGTCTCCCCAACTATATCCCCCATTTACATTTAACTCCCCACATTTTCATCCCCAACACTACGCCCGACCCGATCTATGATCGGGTAAACCAGCTTGTTATTAATAAATACCTTGGAGAGTTGATGGTTTCTGATTGGTCGAGACTCGATCACGTATGGGCGGGCCATTAGGGCAAAAAAGACAAGCACAAAATTAAAGTTAAACAAAAATACAATACAATCAAATGCAAAATAATAAACAATAACGCACAAATTAACAAAGAAAATGTAGGACAACAAAATAAAGAAACCCAAAACAAAATTGAATCGTAAAAAAAAATAAAAACACAAATTAAACATAACAAATAAAACATTCGTGTTAAATTTACAATAAAACACAAATTAAACTAAACCCAAAATTACTGTAAGTCCCGCGTCGAATGTAAACCCCAAAATTACTGTAAGCCCCGCGACGAATGTAAATCCCAAAATTACTGTAAGTCCCGCGACGAATGTATAACCCAAAATTACTGTAAGTAAGCCCTAGCTGCGACGAATGTATACCCCAAAATTACTGTAAGCGCCGCGTCGAATGTATACCCCAAAATTACTGTAAGTCCCGGCCGCGACGAATGTATACCCCAAAATTACTGTAAGTCCCGCATCGAATGTAAACTGAACCCCAAAATTACTGTAAGCCCCGCGACAAGAGTGTATACCCCAAAATTACTCTATTAGTCCCGCGACGAATGTATACCCCAAAATTACTGTAAGTCCCGCGACAAAATTGTAAACCCCAAAATTACTTAAAGCGGGGTACCAGTCTACATGGACTGGTACACAACGGCCTATCACTGCAGCTTGGCCGCGCTACATGGATGGACTGTACACGTGCAACTTTTGCGTTTATTTGGAGGGGGCGTAATCATACACGAAGCCACTGTGTTACATGTCAAGTCGTATTGGAGGGGAAATTGTTTTTTTTGGGGGGGGGGGGCAGCCGGGCAGCCACCATGATCAATTAATATTGTCAGATTGGGCATTTTTTTCCTTTTTTGAGAAGTGATTTATTGCTGAGAACATAGCAAGGATGGACAGATATGTGCAGGCTAAGTTCAGGGAATAATTTTCATTGTTGGAAAATTCCAAGAAAACTTGCCAATTTGCCGCTGTTAAGTAAAGTTGATTTAACGGGGAATAAAATTGGGTTTTGTTATCAGCATCAACAGGACCGCTCCTCTTTCTTTTTACCTCTTGGGAAAGGAGTCAAATGATCTGAGAACCGAAGGCTCTGCGAACTGATGAACATTTTTGACTTTATCTTGCGGCGACCAGCATGACTATAAGTCTTGTTAGTTGTAGGGGAAAATTCTGTTGATTTACACTGGTATGGATATCGGTACCAGACTAAATGCCTAGAGCGAGAGACAAATTTGAAAAACGCGAATGCAACAAAGAAGATTTAACCCTTCTTCCTCAGTCAAAAAGGCGAGATCTCGTGAACGTTAAGAGAAATTAACCGATACAAAAATGCCACTTGTCTATTTGTACTAACCACAAAAAAAAAGCTCCCGGCAATTAAACGGGCCCTTCTCGAAACACACTGGCAGTGGCGGAAATTTATTTTGGGGACTGGGGATGACTAAACTAATAAACAAATTGCACGGCCGTGAAAATTCGATGGCGGGGGGGGGGGGGGGGGGGGGGGGTGGGGCTCTTGCTGGACACCACACAATGACACCAGGGGGAGTTGAACAGATGTACATCATGTATACCTACGCCCCTTGACCTTACATCAAAAGGCGCATTTAAAGCTGTTGTACTTTTTCTTCCTTTTTCAGTACTCTATTGAATACATTTTGGTTGTAGGGGAAATATCTCAAAATCTGCCCTTTTTTGTCTTCTCACCACGTGGGCAAGGGGTGTGGGGATGTGATCCAATAGTCCATCCCCCTTAGTAAAAAATGGGGGGGGGGTATATACCCCATCCCTCCAAGGGCAGATTTTTTTTTGAGGGGGGGTGGCAACGGAGGCCCGCCCCCCCCCCCCCCAAAATAGAACCCATTTTTTTATGTGACGTCGCAATAAAGGCAGGCACTGCGTACACCACCATCTTTTCCTCAAAAAAAAATTGTCAAAGTGGTCAGAAATTGCCTCAGATCGCACCACAGAGCATCTAGAATCCAAAAATTCAAACCGCACGCCGTAATTTTTTGGACCCACTTTTTGGAGGACCAATTCTTTTTTTTGCCCCCCCCCCTTAAAGAATCGTGTTCAGGATCCGCCCTTGCTTCCCTCCCCCGGATTTGACTCCCAGCCCAAAAAGTACAAAAGAATGAGCAACAGTCCTGCTGATGATTATAACAAAACCCAAAACCCAATTTTATTCCCCTTTAGTTTAAATAGTACTTCACGGCGGCAAATTGGCAAATTTTCTTGGAATTTTCCAACAATAAAAATTATTCCCTGAACTTAGCCTGCACATATCAGTCCATCCTTGCTATGTTCTCAGCTGTAAATCACTTTTCAAAAAAGAAAAAAAATGCACAATCTGACAAAATTAATTGATCATGGTGGCTGCCCCCCCCCCCCCCCACCAACAAAAATCCCCCTCCATCCGACTTGTAATGTAACACAGTGGCTTCTTGTATGATTACGCCCCCTCCAAATAAACGCAAAGGTTGCACGTGTACAGTCCTTGTAGCGCGGCCACGCTGCAGTGATAGGCCGTTGTGTACCAGTCCATGTAGACTGGTACCCCGCTTTAAGTAATTTTGGGGTTTACAATTTTGTCGCGGGACTTACAGTAATTTTGGGGTTTACATTCGTCGCGGGACTAATACAGTAATTTTGGGGTATACATTCGTCGCGGCCGGGACTTACAGTAATTTTGGGGTATACATTCGACGGGGGACTTACAGTAAATTTGGGGTTTACATTCGTCGCGATACTTACAGTAATTTTGGGGTATACATTCTTCGCGGGGCTTACAGTAATGTTGGGTTTAGTTTAATTTGTGTTTTATTGTACATTTAACACAAATGTTTTATTTGTTATGTTTATTTTTATTTTTTTTTCGTTTCAATTTGTTTTGTTGTTCTACATTTTCATTGTTAATTGTACGATATTGTTTATTTTTTTTGCATTTTATTTTATTTTAGTTTTGCTTAATTTTAATTTTGTGATTGTCTTTTTTGCCCTAATGGCCGCCCATAATCACGTTGGGGTGTATTAACGGTGATATAAAGACCGGCTTCAAAGAACAAGCGAAAAAAATAGCCCCTGAACCAGCATTGATCCAGCCTCATGGAAGGCAATGATTGGCCAAATTTTACGGCAGCTTGTAACAATACAGCACTTCACATGCGCTCAACCACCTTCGCGTGAGACTGACGCGCGCGTACGCAACACATTTGCTATGGGTGCGCGCGCGTAAGGAAGTTTTAAAACGACATCGTACAGAAGTGCAGTATTAACCCAATGCACATGAAGTCATCATTTTACACAAAATCTTGATGGCGCCATTTTGGGAGTCAAATTATCGTCTGCTAGCATATCGCGCACGCACGATACACATCACGTCCGATGCTTGTTCGTACTCGTAGAAGAATCGTACCGTACGACGTGCCAATTTGTGTCGCGAATCAATCATATTGACCACTTGCACTTGCAGCATGGATGCCGTGGTCGATGGTCAGTTATCCAGTGCCAGTTCAAGTTCTGGGCCACCTAGTTCTTTGTCGGAAAACGTGGAACAACTTCCTTTGCCTGACAAGGAGAGATACGTGAACAAGCTGGGCAACATTGGAACGTGCGATCCATACCTCATCCCCGCATCATGCTGCACACCGTTGTTGAAATCCAACTTGCTACCAAAGCTAGAATTTCCAGATATTTATATGTACCTCATAAACTTCCCTTCGTCTTACACGGGGGAAGCCATGAAGGCTTACAAAAGTCTAGACGGATACAAGTATTTCATTGCTGGTAAAGTAAATCACTTACTTGTGTGGCACCAGCCAATGAAACGTGATCCAACTACCTCTGTTTTTGTGATTTTGTCAAAGGTTAGTCGTGATTTTTAATTTTATCTTCACTAATCTGGGTCAATCTTTCAATCTTTAACAATTGACTGTTGTTTTATCGTTGTAGACCTATATAAAATTAGCTTGAGTAACTCAAGCTGACATGCTCATATTCATTCACATGTAGCCTAGCTACATGTGAATGAATATGAGCATGTCAGCTGGAGTTAGCTACATGTGAATGAATATGAGCATGTCAGCTGGAGTTACTCAAGCTATATTATAAGTAATATAAAATATGTATCCGTGTGCCAGTGAGTGGACTAGGCCTACTTTTATTTCTACAATGTCACTGAATGTGAATGTAGGCCCTACGCTACAGTGGCTATAGTAAATGACAGCTGTAAACACAATTTTCAAACTATGGCATTGACTGTAAAAACACAATGCGAGTGTATATTAGAATAGATTTATACATGTAACTGCGCAATGAATCAGAATGTTTTAAAAGCTTGATTAGTTGGTTTCACGTTAGATTAATGAGTCGGGAATCCAGGTTCAAAACCCATGCCGCGCTTCTGTTTACTATTCTTTTTATAAATTGATTTGGTTTTATAACTTTTTAGGTTTTTAATCAAACTCTTCCTTTATTTAAGTAGACCTCATTTTTTCTTAGAAGTGAGTGGTGTTGGGAAATGAAGTTGGAGAACCATTTGTTTGATCAGTTTGGTTTCAACAGCCAAAGATTCATAGTTCTGTTACAATAGCGTTGAAAGTCGCGTTACGGCTAACCTACATTTGTAACAATACATGTAGCCACTTCATTTTTACAAACTTATGATGACATCAACAGTCGGATACTATGGGGACCCGGTTCCACATGCCCCAGTAGCGTTTGGCTACACATGTACAATGTAAGTCTGCATCTACCCCTGGCTCTATATTCTTCCAAGGAGCTGAGATGATCAAAATTCAAAATAAGGCATAGGGTTTTTTTTTCTAATTCTAGTAGTCAAAAGGAAAACCTAATACATGTATGTCCTAATTTGAATGTTCCTTTTTTTTCTGCCCAGGTACACCATTCACAGAGACTCAATGACCCCCCTGTCAAGGTATGGGTGGCTTTCCAAGAGGATGGAGTTGTGATCACTGCGCATTGCACATGCATGGCAGGAGTAACGGAGGTATGCTCTCATGTAGCGGCAACTCTGTTTGCTGTGTCAAAAGGTGTGGAAATGAGCACAACTACTTGCACATCCAAACCATGTACGTGGATTAAGCCAGCAAAGAGTAGATCTAGCGGTGAGGACATGTATGCGGAAGCAAGCAACATCAACTTCAGCAAACCCAAAAGGAGAATGACTGAAACCCCAACCACTTTGCCAAAGAGCTCCTGCAAATCTAGATCTGTACCCCCGCCATCTAAAGACGAAACAGACAACTTTTTCCAACAGCTTAAAGGGACAGGTGTACCATCTGCAATACTGTCACTTGTGCCTGCATATGCTGCAGATTTCATCCCAAAAGCTCTGCAATTGAAACTTCCTGAGCCACTGACAAAACTCTACTGTGCAGAAAACCTCAAGGTGTCGTATCCCCAACTACTCACCAAATGTGAAGCTGTTTTCAACAACATGACAATGGATGTGGACATGGTAAGTACATGTACATGCACATGTACACTGCTGTATTGGCGTGTGCAAAGTTTAGTAAACACAACACTGAGCCTTTTGTGGTAGTGTCAGAGACACAATTAAAGCATTAACCCTCATTGTCAAAACTTCCAGACACTTCCGCTGCTATGCCTTTTACACAGGCAAGTCACAGTCAGATCATAATTTTTTAGTAAGCACTTTGACTAATCAAATTCAGTCAACAGACGACAACAGGAAACTGGTGGCACAGCTGTCTTATCAATCACCTTCAGTCTAGTCAAATCACAGCTGTATCATGCTACATAAACAGTCACAGCTAGTCAGTGGGAGCTCTTAATTGTTGAAAACAGTCACTTTATTGATTTTGACTGCAAGAACAACTTGGCACAGAATGTATGTTTGCATAGGATGGTTCAATCAATTGACATGATAAACTAATAATGATGACCTTTGGCACATCAAGAGATTTTGGGGGCGACCCCTGATAACAAGAGAAAAAGATCCTTATTTATATATTTCATCATTTTCAGTGTAATGCAATTGAGGAGCTAACCCGTCAGCAGGCAAAGAGCAAGATGTGGCATATCTACCGAGCTGGTCGAATAACTGCATCCAAGTTCAAATCAGTAGTGTGTACAGACCTTGCCATGCCATCAGCGTATTTGATCAAATCAATCTGTTATCCAGCTGCATACAGCTTCAGTACTGCTGCAACTCGGTAAGTTTACAACTTTTAAAGTTTGTATGTTATAGTAAGTGTGAGTGGTCATTCTGTGCTCACTATTAAATGATGACTTAACCCTAAAGGGGCCGGGGGGGGCAGAATCTGCCCCCCCCCCCCCTCAACTGTTTCCGCGCTAGCCTCGAGAGAAAAAATTTCGGGACCGGAGCTTTTGTGACTTTTTAGCCTCAAGCCTTGCGCATCTTTTGACACCAAAAATACATTACTGTACAAGTAGCTGATAATTGTGAAAGTGATTGGGGGCAAATTCAGGTTGGAGGCAAAGAAGGGGGGGGGTGTGATCATTGATCATGTCCCAAACGACTACATCAGATCAGTCAGTAAATATTAAACTTTTACAGTTAATTGATGTCAACATAGATTCAAACTCTTTTTTTTCAGTTGGGGCTGTCAGCACGAGAAAGATGCAGTTGAAAGCTACACCAAGTGTCAGTCATCAAACCATGACAATCTCCATGTCAGAGATGTTGGCTTGTACATTTGCCCCGACCTCCCCTTTCTAGGGGCATCCCCCGATGCACACATCACCTGCACCTGTTGTGGAGATGGACTGCTGGAGGTAAAGTGCCCTTTTTGTGTAAAGGACTGTAACATCAGTGAAGGCCTGGCAAGGAAGGACTTCCCTCTTGAGAGTAGCTCAGATGGAAAGCTGTACCTCAAGCATAGTCATCCTTATTATTTTCAGGTTCAAGCCCAGTTGTTTGTTTCCAACAAACCCTATTGCGATTTTGTTCTTTGGTCTCAAACAAAACCTGATGCTCCACATATTGAGAGAATATTCCCCAATGATGTGTTTCTTAAGGAAAATGTTGAAAAAGCAAAACTGTTTTTCAAAGTGGGTATTTTGCCTGAGCTGCTTGGTAAGTGGTACACAACATCTAATGTAGGAGAAGGGAACACCATTGCTGAGTGCAGTTCACAGACACAAGTAAATGTTTGTTGTTTTTGTCGTGAGGCAAACACTGGTCATGGTATTGTAGTGAGCGCGGAGTAGCGCCGTGGGGCTTGAGTCTCGTTGGGGGCGAGTTGACATACACACACACACACAGCGGAGATTAAGTTTCACCGGAGAATCACTGATTATTTATTCATTAATTAATGTTCATTCGTCTTCATTGGTTGCTCAGGGTCGAAGGGAAGGAGGTAGCCAGTCGCTGCACCAGGCTAAGCACGACAAACAGTAGCTTTCATCATGATTTCCAGTGGTATTCGGGGGATTTATCTCTGTATTTTCCCCAACTCGGAGACCATTCCTCTCATCTCTTCCCGTGACTGACACAGATTTCTATTCTTCTCGTTTTCACTAGTATAGTTCCGGAGCACTGCCCCGCGAAGCCTGTTTACCGCTGTCTGGGTTACCTCTCCCTTCTCTTAGAATAAACAGCTTTTGTATCACTCTAAAGAACCTTAGTAATATACAAAGAGTATACTTAACTACCAAATTATGTAAGATACAGTCTTTTATAAGCACCAAACAATCATTAATGAGGCCCTATATTATCTTACACGACACCGAATGCCAGTCTTTGCAGACATATCCCTGCGCTGCATGGATACACGTTCTATTTTTAGAATATTGTGCACACACCTGGGAGGCCAGCTTTTGGCAATTTAACGGTGAGTAGGCGAGCGCCCTCTGTTGGCCAAATTTGTGAATGATCAACAACAAATCACTATCATAAGTCATTTCTCCACAAACTCCCCTACTGAATTGATCTTCTCCTGGAGATCACCTTGATTTAAAGATTTATAAACGCTAACATTACTATAACAAGTTAAACACTAAATAAAACATTAAGAATAAAGCTTAATGCTTAAACAATGTGTCTGGTTCCTTTTGAATATTTACCAAAATTTACTTTCGAAAAATTTAACAAGCTGTCTGAGGGTTCTCTCGTATTGGGACATTCCCCATCGATTGAGGTGCACACCGTCCAGATTAAAACGTGGGTGCTTCAAACCACGGTGATGCCAGACCCACCAACGGTCCTCCTTAAGAGTTTCCGCTTCAAGCAGCTTGTTGAAGACCTCTGCCTTCTCATTAAATTCAGAGACAGATACTTGATTCTGCCTCATTTTACCTGTACGTGGCAAGACAGGCAAAAACACCACTACACAAGGACTAATACCAAACCTTGGAAGATCCCGAACAAAGGCACAAAGTAAGTCAAACACATCCTTTGATGATACACCAACTGTACCCAAATCATTAGTCCCTAGATCAATTATCAAAATAGAGGGCTGTACTCTGGCAATCATACGGTAATAACGACAACGACTGGCATTAATGCGACTTAGTGTCAATCCTCCTTCCCCCAAACAAGAAAGAGGTACTCTTTTCCTCTCTAAATCTATATTTACTGTTGCTTCTCGCCTTCCTGAGAAACGCCTAACAAAACTGTGTCCAAATAACACAAATCCCATAATGGTAATGCTGCTAGAGGGTATCTCCCCCTCTTTAACTTGAGCTTCAAACAATTTGTCTATATAAATCATGCAATCTATAATCTTTAGATTTACATTCTTCTGGAACTGAATACATTTTGTAATTTCAAAACCCAACTGGTAATGCTTATTTACCAAGTGGTACATCATGTACATGCATACACCGGCCTGAGCCGCATGGACCATTTCCAAGTGAGAAGTAGAGCAAGGCGACCACATGGGGTCGGACTCACTCACAGGAAGACTGGATACCCCAAGTCTCTTCCACAGAGTATGTCCGAGTCCCATGCAGCCACAGGCTAAACCCTCACACCAAGACTATTTCAGAACAGAGCAGGGCAGCCTGTGTGGGTTTGAATGAACACCCTTAGTTCTTCTCCGTGATGTTCTCCGAGGTTGTTCGTGATCTAACTCTGAGACCCTATGGGGCTCCCCTACTTTATTATCCTGTACCCCTCGGTCAACTGCTGAGTTACTTGGTTCAGACTTGGTCACAATAAAGTCGTTTTCGGACTCATCACTACTCTCAAAGTCATCGCCAGACTCTGGATCTGCAAGTGGATCCACTCGTAAATATTTACGGTTGACCGTCTTCTCCGGTCCTCCATTAATTGGTCGAATGCGATATACATCCCCGTGGACATTCTGCCATGCCACTACATACGATTCTCTACAGTATGCGTCTTCTAGTTTGTGACGGCCCTTGAACGTGCATTTCCTCAAAAGAACTCGTGAACCCACTGGTAAAGGTGCCGCAGTAGCTCTGTTACTATGTGCGTTTTCGTTCTGACGTGCTCTTTTCTCTACCCTCTCTTTTACCAAGGCCCCTACTCTCTCAAGCAGCTCCGATTGTTCCCTGACAAAATTCTGTTCCCAATTACTATCTGTCCGACCCAAAATTTGGTCCAATGGAATCAATGGTTCCCTTCCGAACATTAATGTGTACGGGGTTACGCCGGTGGTGGAGTGAGGTGTGGAATTGTAAACAAAAACAAGGTGTGACAAAAAGTCAGGCCATCGTTTGCGCTCGTGTTCGCTGAATGACTTGATCAATCCAAACAAGGTTCTATTGAATCTTTCCGCCTGCCCATTTCCTTCCGGGTGATACGGCGTTGTTCGTGACTTTTTGATACCATACAATGTGCATAGTTCACGGACCAATTCCCCCTCAAAATTCCTACCCTGATCGCTATGCAATCTGTTTGGGATGCCGAATCTCGTAAACCAACTGTCTCTGAGCACCTTAGCGACAGTTTCGGCACATTGGTCCCTACATGGTACAGCTTGAGTATATTTCGTGTACACATCGGTCATAACAAGAATATCCTCGTATCCACCACGACCCCTGTCAATCTTAACAAAGTCAATGGCCAGTACTTCCAAGGGCCTGAAAGCTAATAAGTGACGCATCGGAACCTTCGGAATGGGTTCGGACACCTTCGCCGCCACACAACGTTCGCATTTCCGTATGTGAGCCCGCACATCTGCGGTCATGTTCGGCCAATAAACGCGCTTGCCCAAAAGTGAACTCGTTCGTGCAACCCCCTGATGACCCCAACCATCGTGGCAGCCTTCCATAGCCCTAGAGCGAATGGTGTCGGGCATAAGTATTTGAAATACCTCCCCAACCACAGGATCTTCAACCCTTCGACACAGGACACCGTCTCGTACCGCAAAGCGCGACCACTGCCACAACCAATGTGTAGCCAAGGGAAGAGTTATTGGTTTGGTCTAGCAGGGAACTCCTCATGTGGCCGAAGGCTACTTATAGTTAATAAATATTGATGTGAAGCGAGTGGACATGGAGAGATGACTAGATTTGATTAATTTATTCGGATGAATCTATACAAAATATACAGTTGTGGCTCTCTCGAATATATATACAAAAAAAAACGACAGTCAAATGGGTATACAGTTGTACGTCGCCTAGGCTGAACAACGGTCGTGCCACCACCAAACGAAGGGGAAATTGTCCCCAACTAGCTGTAGTTGAGCTATAATCAGAGCACTTCTAAATTGTAGGTGTGGTCTGATCGCAAGCAAGTGGATGAGTCTCTAGCAATGCCTTGTCATTACACGAAAGCTAAGTTATGCAGCACGCAATGCAGCTCAGAAAGTGTTAACGATATTCTGGAATGCAAGGTATGTTGGAATGTTCCTGGCCAATGTAGCTGGTTATGCTAGAATGTGATTGCAGGAAAGTTAAGGAACCAAGCGAGGGCGTTGCAATAAAAAGTTTCTGTAACTACAGAGGGCGCTAATTATGTTATCAAAATAATGGCTCATCATATTGTACAGCCTATGTACTATGCTTATGATTATATTAGAAATGTTACCGAGACCTGTCTGTTGTAAAACACGACAGGTCACACTCACCCCCTAATTAAAAAAAAAAAGAAAACTATACGAGGAATAAGTAGACTATGAGGAATAAGTAGCAGTAGTTAGATGGTAGTATGTACAAGTTCAAGTTTCTGCCTCTACAAATGCCAACTTATCCTAGAATCTTCCTAGAGGATACTGCATGGTGAATACCTAGTGATCAATATCAATTAGAAATATCTCGTAGTCCAGACTCAGTATATCACTAAGAGCGAGTTGACCTCATGGACTAATATAAAGATGTTCTAAATATCACAATAAAGATGATAAACTAGGCTACTATTCAAACCAAATGTCCCCTAGTATGATGGAACTATCTAGGAGGGTATTATACAAAACAGTCCAACCTAGGATGTCCCTAGAAACGAGTTAACCTCAATGCACTGATGAAACATTCTAGTCATTCTGCGAATAGGGCATGTAAATGGCTGATAAGAAACTTGACAATACCTAAAATTTGCTAATTAAACTGACAATGCGGTCACATCTAAATATGCGAAGTAACCTCGACACTATGGCCTTATTTTAAATTTACTTCAATCTACCCTTGATTAAAGCTAATTTATAAATGTATGTTAAAAATATGTACAAACTTCATAACTAAACCACTGTAGTCAACCTGGTTACACTCACCCCCTAATTTTAAAGAAAAAATCTAAAAATTAATGTGGCCTGACGTTGCGAACTTAGCAAGTTCTTCTTCAGAGGCTAAAACAGAAATGACAGAGGTACAAACATTAACAAGGGGGTGCACACAAACATGCAGGGATGAAAGAAGAAACACAAAAGGAGGATTAGGTGGGAAAGGTGTGGAAAGATGCAGGGGAGGGTGGATGAGAGAACAAAGAAACAAAGGGAGATGGCAAACCACAAGGGGTCTGGTATGAACAGGGGAGGGACCAGAAAGGGGAAGGATCAAAGGTCACAGGGAGTGGGAACGGACAAAAGAGTGTGGGAGTGAAGGGGGATTATGCGGGGGGGGGGGGAACAGTATGGAGGTGGAAAGGGATGAAAGATGGGGGAAGATGGGTAAACACAAACAATGAAGACCGGGTGGATTATCTGTAACAGAAGACAATGGAGGAAGAAAAAGATTAATCATTTCCAAGTTGGATGTTGAGACCATGTGGTTGAATAGTTCGAAGACGATTCATCCACACTTTCTCT